GAGCCTTATGGGGGGCTTTTCTCATTCAAACCACCACATGCCTGCATGTATGTTTGGGTGTGCCTGGTGCTAGAGGAGACAAGAAAAGGACATTAGAGACCCTGGAACTGGAGTTATGGATGGTTGTGAAACACACATAGGTGTTGGGACTCAAACCTGGGTCCTCTGGAAGACCAGCCAGTGCTTTTAGCCATTGAGTCATCTCTTCTATACCTAACAGGAGATTTTGTTTGCTTATTTTTTGTTTTGTTTTGCCTTTCAAGATGGGATTTCTCTGTATAGTCTTGGCTGGCCTCAAACTCAGAGATTTTTATTAACTGAGGGATTTTTATTAACTAAAGTCACCCGTGCTTCATCTGGATGCCAGCTGGTCCCCTGGTATGATCTATGTGCAAATGAAATCACAGGACTTAATCTGTTGGAAACCTGAATCTTTGCCTATAAGTAACACATCTTAAAGATTTCTATTTAAGTCACAACAAAACTCATCATTTTGTGTAATTATATATACTAGTATATATTTCCTGTTCATGAAAACTAAACCAAAAAAAGCTCTATTTAATACTTTACACTGAAGGATAATACCAACCAGGCTTGGTGGGACAATAATTTCAGCACTTAGTAGGCAAAGATGGGTGGATCTCTGTGAGATATGAGGCTAGCCTGGTCTATATATCAAGTTTCAAGACATCAAGGACTACATAGAGAGACCCTGTCTCAAAAGAATATTCATAACACCAACTGGCCATGATGGCATGTGTTCTTAATCCCTGTACTTAAGAGGCAGAGGCAGGCAGATTTCTGTGAGTTCTAGGCCAGCCAGGGTTACATAGTAAGATCTTCTTTCAAATAATAATGATGATGACAACAACAATAATAATAGCAACAACAGCCAGGTAGTGGTGATGCACACCTTTAATCTCAGCATACAGGAGGTAGAGGTAAGTGGATTTCTGTGAGTTCAAAGACATCCTGGTCTACATAAAAAGTTCCAAGACAGCCAGGGCAACAGAGAAACCCTGTGTCGAAAAAAAATTTTAAATAACAACAACAACAGGTAGCCTTCCAGATTCCAGATAGCTCAGCAGTTAAGAAAGTGCTTGTTGTGTAATTCTGGCAGCCTGAATTCAACCTTTTGTTGTAGAATATCTTACTCTTGGCTTTTTGGGGGGCCTGCCATCCAGCTCGCAAATAAATCACACACAGAAGTTTATTTTTAACTATGAATGCCAGGCCTTAGCTTGGCTTGTTTCTTGCCAGCTTTTCTTAACTTAAATTATCCTAACTACCTTTTGCCTCTGGGTTTTTGTCTTTCTCTATGTCTGTATACCTTTCTTTCCTTCTTACTCTGTGACTGGCTGGGTGACTGCCCCTGATGTCTTCTCCTTGTTCTCTTGTTGTTCCTTTCTCATTTCTCCTATTTATTCTCTCTGCCTGCCAGTCCCACCTATCCTTGCTCCTGCCTTGCTATTGGCCATTCATCTCTTTATTAGGACCATCAGGTGTTTTAGACAGGCACAGTAACACAGCAACACAGAGTTAAACAAATGCAGTGTAAACAAAAACCACACACCTGAAAATAATATTCCCAACCATCTTTGACACACAAATAAGGATAGAAGGAGAGAAACAACACCACAGAGTTGTCCTTTGACTTCCATTTTAATTACTTCTGTGTTGCTATGATAAAACATCATGATGAAGGCAACTTACTAAAGGTGTTTATTTGGACTTACAATTTCAGAGGGTTAAAGTTCATGATGGCAGAGTAACAGTGTGGCAGCAGGGACAGCTGAGAATTCACATCCTGATCCACAAGTAGGAGACAGAGAATGAGTCCCTGGAAACAGCATGGACTTTTGGAACCTCAAGGCCCTTCTCCAGTGACACACCTTTTCCAACAAGGCCACACCTCTTAATCCTTCCCAAACAGTTCCACCACCAATTGATGGCGAGCCTCTGGGGCCATTTTCATTCAAACCACCTCAACCTCTATAGAAACACATCTTTCACAAATAACAACAACAACAACAACAAGGTTGGGAGTATAGCTCAATTAATAATAATAGTTACTGTCTTGGTCAGGATTTCTATTGCTGTGATGAAGCACTATGACCAAAAACAAGATGGAAAGGGTTTATTTGGCTCACACTTCCATATCACTGTTCATCACTGAAGGAAGTCAGGACAGAAACTCAAAAAGGGAAGGAACCTAGAGGCAGAGGTTGATTGTCTTAGCTAGGGTTTCTTTATTTCTTTTCTTTTCTTTTCTTTGTTTTTCGAGATAGGGTTTCTCTGTAGCTTTGGAGCCTGTCCTGGAACTCAGTATGTAGACCAGGCTGCCCTCAAACTCACAGAGATCCATCTGTCTCTACCTCCCAAGTGCTGGGATTAAAGGTGTGCACCACCGCCCAGTTTGTTTGTTTGTTCAAAGACAGGGTTTCTCTGTGTAGACATGGCTGTCCTGGAACTTGCTCTGTAGACCAGAGATCTGCCTGCATCTGCCTCCTGTGTTCTGGTATTAAAGGAATTCACCACTATTGACTAGCTCAATTTTTCTTTTAAAAGTTCAAAGTCTTTTGACTTTGTGGCTCCTATAAAAATTAGAATTAAGTTAAATACGTCTTTCAAGAGGGAAGAACCAGGACACAGTCAGAATCTGAGCAAAGCAAAACCAAACCCCGACAGTTAAATAACTTAACGACCAGTTATCTGGGTTCCCTCCCTATCACTTCTCCAGCTCTGCCCTCTGCAGCACACACAGCTTGTCTTCTGGGCTCACACAGGCTCCAATCCACCTCAGCTGCTATCCTCAGGGGTCATCCCATGGTACTGGCATCTCCAAAATGCTGGAGGCTTCTGCAGCAACTGGACTGCACGTTCACCAATAGCCTCTCCTGGGCTCTTTCATGGTGCCAAGCCTCAGTTTCTCTTCATGACACCTTCAGTCCTGGAGCTTCAACTGGTACTGAGTCTCCACCTTCACCAACAGCCCTGGCTTCTCACACTGCCAAACCTCAACTGCTCTCTAATGTAGGAGGTTCCTCTGTTTATGTGTTGCTTTCATTGGTTAATAAATAAAGGAACTGCTTTGGGCCTGACAGGGCAGAACTTATGCAGGCAGAGTAGACAGAGCTGAATGCTGGGAAGAAGGGTAGAGTGGCAGATGCCATGGATCTCCTGCCTGAGATGGACTCTGGTGAGAATCTTGCCAGTAAGCCACAGTCATGTGGCGATACATAGATGAATAGAAATGGATTAAATTAAGATGTAAGAATTAGCCAATAAGAAACTAGAGCTAATAGGCCAAGCAGTAATTTTATAAATACAGTTTCTGTGTGGTTATTTCGGGTGTAAGCTAGCCGGGCAGCTGGGACAGAACAAGGGCCCGCTCTCCATGCAACAGCTCTCCATGACCCCTTCATGCCATCAAAACCAGTACCACCTGAGAGACTCTTACACAGTACCAAGTTGAACTGCCAGCATGAGGTATAGCCTTGACCACCTCTAGAACACAGTATAGCTTCTGTAGGTTGACCCTGATGAAACACTTCCCAGAAGATTTCACCTCAACGATGCTGATCTCTTTTGTTTGTTTTTTTGAGACAGGGTTTCTCTGTGTAGTCCTAGATGTCTTGGAACTCTGTAGACCAGGCTGGCCTCGAACTCACAGAGATCCACCTACTTCTGCTTCCTGAGTGCTGGGATTAAAGGTGTGTGCCACCACTTCCTGCTGGTCTCTTCTTAATCACTGCTAAATTCTCGGCTCCAGCCAACCAGCATCAAGTGTCCCAGGAAAGCAAGTTTTCGCTTTAGCAGTTCTGGGATCTTGTTAATTCAAACTGATTCTTTAGCCCCAGCAAACCACAGAATCTTAATCCAAAATAACAAATTACCTCAATAGAGTATTTATTTATTTATTGGTATTTTTCAAGACAGGGTTTCTCTGTGGCTTTGAGGGCTGTCCTGGAACTAGCTCTTGTAGACCAGGCTGGCCTCGAACTCACAGAGATCCACCTACTTCTGCCTCCTGAGTGCTAGGATTAAAGGCGTGCGCCACCACAGCCCAGCTTCAATAGAGTCTTTAAATTTCCCTCCGAAATTTCACAAACACAGGCCTCCATTGTCTGCTCTGCTCTCAACATTCTTATCTTCCAAGCGCCTATAGAACAGCTCACTGAGTTCTCAACATTCAATGGCTTTTCTAGCTCAAAGTTCCAAAATCCTCCCACAATGCTCCCCAAACAAATATGATCAGGTCTGTCACAGCAATACCCCTCTATCCCTATACCAACTTGTCTTAGGGTTTCTATTTCTGTGATGAAACACATGACCAAAAGCAAGCTGGGGAGGGAAGACTTAAAGTTCTACTTCCACTTCTAAAGCACGGTTCAGGAAGTCAGGACAAAAACTCAAACAGGGCAGGAACCTGGAGGCAGGAGCTAATGCAGTCAGAGGCCATGAAGGAGTGCTGCTTTGTGGCTTGCTCTGCATGGCTTGCTCAGCCTGCTTTCTTATAAAACCCACAACCACCAACATGGGCTGGGTCCTCCCCGTGAATCACTAAGAAAATACCCTAGAGGCTTGCTTACAGCCAGCCTGATCTTATAAGACGTCTTCTTTTCTTTTCTTTCTTTTTTTTTTTTTTTTTTTTTTTTTTTTTTTTTTTGAGACAGGTTTCTCTGTGTAGCTCTGGCTGTCCTGGGACTCTGTAGACCAGGCTGGCCTCAAACTCACTGAGATCCGCCTGCCTCTGCTTCCCAAGTGTTGGGATTAAAAACATGCACCACCACCGCCCCGCTGGTTTGGTTGATTCTTACATATTAAACACAAAATTACTATTTGACCCTGCAATCCCACCTCTGGGTTCATACTTAAATCAACTGAAAATGGAAATTCAAACACCAATATCACAGCAATTTTATCCACAATAGCCAAAGAGTAGAAAGAACCAACATGCTCATGACATGCGAATCAATTACTAAAGCAGATCCACTTACTAGGTTTTGTATTTCTTCCCAGGACTTCATCTTTTTCTTCCTTGGTAACTTAATCCGCAAAATCCAGGAGAATGGAATATTAGCAAATATATACATACTTATTTCTATATGCATATATGAATATATACTTGGGGAATTGCTCTTTTAATGGGATGAGTTTACTTTAGATGAGAAAAAGAAGAAAGCTTGGGAGATGGATAGACAGCACCTATTGTCCTGTCACGTGAATAGACCGAATGCCACATAGGGGACATTTAATAAGTTTGGGCACGCTGGGCACACACCTGTAATCCCAGGACTCAGAAGGGGAGGGAAGAAGGGTCAGAAGTGCAAGGTCATTTTTGACTACAAAATAAGTTTGAGGCCAACCTGGGAAACATGGGACTCTTTCTCAAAGTAACCAACAACTGCCGGGCAGTGGTGGCGCACGACTTTCATCCCAGCACTTGGGAGGCAGAGGCAGTCAGATCTTTATGAGTTTGAGGCTAGCCTGGTCTACAGAGTGAGTTCCAGGGCAGACAGGACTGTTACACAGAGAAAGCCTTTCTTGGGAAAACAAAACAAACAAAAACCCTACCCAAGAACTAAAATGATCAGTAGGAGGCAGGAGAGACACAGGAGAATCTCAAGCTTGAGGCCAGCCTGGGCTACAGAGAAGACCCTATCTCTAAAAAATAAAAACAGTGCCAGAATGGTGATACATACCTATAAGTCCAGCACTTGGGAAGTTGAGGCAGGAGGATTATGAGTTCAAGACCAATCTGGCAAGTGTGAGGCTAGCTTGGGTAATGGCTAAAATGGTAATATTTATGTATGTACTCTTACCACAATTTTAAAAAACTGCATTAAACAAAAATGAGAGCTACTGCCCAAAGTAAAAACGTACAGTGAATTTGAACAAACATTTTGCCACAAAGAGAAAGGAAATATATTCAACAACATTAGTTATTGGAGAAATTAAAAATAAAACCATAGCTGTGCAGTGGTGGTGAATGCCTTTAATCCCAGCCCTCGGGAGGTAGGAGGACCTCTGTGAGTTCAAGGCCAGCCTGGTCTACAGAGCCAGTTCCAGGACAGTTAGGGCTGTTACAAAGAAAAACCCTGTCTTAACAAAACAAAACAAGACAAACTACAGAGAGTTAATACTAAACACTAGCCTGACTTTTTAAAAATAAATCCCTGGCCGGTCTAGAACTCAGAAATCCATCTGCCTCTGTTAGAAGTGCCACCACATCCAAATTTAGTAATATTTTTCAAAGCTTGACAGTATCAAGTAACAGGAAGGACATGTTCAGTCCTGGGTCCTGGTCGCACACTGGTTAGCTTGTCTACTCTCTGAGCTGTACTTTCCTCATTTAGGAAGCAAAGAGGCTGTCCTGGGGTCCAGGAATCAAGCACATCTCTGAGGGTTAGTCACTGTTGACTGAGTAAGAAACACCTAGACAGGGCTGATCTTGTGGAAGACCTGAGTTCAGTTCCCACTGTCCACATACGATGGCTCACGACTGTCTTTAACTCCATCTGCGGGGATCTGATGCCTCTGGCTTTTGAGGACACCTGCACTCTTGTGCACATGTCCACACGTGCACACACACATACACATAATTAAAAATAGGGGTTGGAGAGATGGTTTAGCGGTCAAGTGACTGGCTGCTCTTCCAGTTCAATATGAGTTCAATTCCCAGAACCCAAATGGTGGTGTTCAGCCATCACTAGCTCCAGTTCCAGGAGATCTGATGCCCTCTTCTGGCCTCCAGAGGCAATGCATGCACATAGCTCACCAACATACATGCAGGCAAATACCCATACTTTTTTTTTTTTTTTTTTTTGAGACAGGGTGGAATTCTACATAGGTGAAAATGGCCTCAAACTCACAGAGATCCTCCTGTCTCTGTTTCCTAAGTGCTAGGCCTAAACATGGCCCCACAAATATTTGAAAATTAATAAAAAAAAAATCTTTTAATTAATTTATTGGGGTTTTTTGGAGACGGTTTCTCTGTAGCTTTGGAACCTATCCTGGAACTCGCTCTATAGACCAGGCTGGCCTCGAACTCACCTGTCTCTGCCTCCTGAGTGTTGGGATTAAAGGCATATATCACCACTTACCATTTTTTGTTTGTTTTTAAGATTTGAAAAAACAAAAATCACCTCTGCTCAGCTGTGGTTGTCTACAGATGGCGATCTAAGGACAATTAGGTCCTGAGGGATCTGATTGGAATGAATCCTAATGAATGAGTTAATCCTTTGATGGGGTCACAACGTCACAGTACTAGTCAATGGTGGAGCTGTGGAAGGGGGTGTCTGAGAGGAGAAGGTCACTGGGGTTGTGGGTGGGTAGGGGTGTGTTTTGCCCTGGTTTCTTTCTGTTTTCTTCTTTTTCTGCTTCCTGGCCATTGAGAACTGAAGAAGCCCACCCGACCCTCACCCCACCTGCCGCAAACTGTGGCCACTGTGATTTTCTGCCTGAGTATCATGATTTGAAAGAAATCCTTCCCTTCCAGGTGTCCTTGCTATTTGGTCACAGTGGTGCAAAAGCAGTGAAGATACTTCTGAGAGAAAAAGTGGTAACAATCAATCAAATGTTTAATCCCATTTCATTCTCTTTGGGCTTAAGGCGGTATGCTATCCCTGATTGTCCAAACTCGCAAACCAAGTAGCAAATAGATATTTGCTAAATATGGGAAGAACTTTAGCACTCAAAGATGATCACATGATTGCAACAGTTTCAATCTAACATAATGGGGAGGTCAGAGCGGGCAGTGAGAACTGAGATGAGGCTTAGTGCCTGTAGCCCAGGAGCAGCCGGAAGGGTGGGGCAGGAACCCTGAGCAAGCTCTGGTCTTCCTAATCGCCTACTTCTATCAGCTAGACCCGCCTTCACAGCGAGGCCACCTGAGGAACAAGCATTTTAGCGTGTGACCCTGTGGGGAGCTTCCAGATTCACGCCATAACCAACAAGGCTACTACTGAGGAACTGTATTAAGAATACAATTTGTCTACTATTCTGTTTTCCTTTTGCTTTTCCTTTTTGAGACAGAGTTTCTTTATGTAGCCTTGGCTGTCCAGGAACTCTGTAAAACAGGCTGGCCTTGAGCTCACAGGGATCCACCTGCCTCTTGCCTCTGCCTTAGCAAGTGTTTGGATTTAAGGTGTGCACCACCACCCAGCACACAATTTCTCTACTATATTTGCAACTATCTATGAATCTATACTTATTTCCATATAAGAAGTGTTTTTTTATACAAGGTCTCACTATGTAGCCCAGGTTGGTCTCAAACTCTCAATACCTGGTCCCTCAGCCTCCAGAGTGGTAGGGTTGTACGAGCTACCAGACCCAGTGAGTGACAGGATTAAAGGTGTGTCACCACACCCAGCGAGTAAAAAGAAAGTTAAAGAAAAAAAAGTTGCAGGCTTCCTTTCCACAGCCCCTAAGAAGAGAACACTCTTTGCTCTCATTTCATTCTGTTACTGCATTGAAACAGTCTGACTAGGCGGGCAGTGGTGGTGCACACCTTTAATCCCAGCACTTGAGAGTGTGAGTTTGAGGCCAGTCCAGTCTAGAGCGAGTTCCATGACAGCCAGGGTTACACAGAGAGAAATCCTGTCTCAAAAAACTAAAAAACAAACAAAAAAAAGGGGGGGAGATTAAAATTAATTAAAAAACAAAACAACAAAATAACCCCACTGTGACCAAAAGCACCTTGGGGAGGAAAAGGTTGATTTGACTTACACTTCCAGGTCACAGTCCATTACTTAGGGAAGTCAGGGCAGGAAGCATGGAGGAATCCCGTCTGCTGGTCCAGTCTCTGCTTCAGGCTTAGCTCATTTTTCAAGCTATTATTTTTAGCTATCTGCATGTGTGTGTATCTATGTGTGTATGGACATATGAGTGCAGGTGTCCACAGAGGTCAGAGATACTGGCTACCCTAGAGCTGGAATTAGAGGTGGCTGGGGGGGGCACCTGATGTAGGTGCTGGGACTTGAACTTAAGTCCTCAGGAAGAATAAGTAGTACCTGTGTGTGACTGCTGAGTCATCTCTCCAACCCCTTAGGAAAGGTTCTCACACAGCCCAGAACCACCTGTCCAGGGAATGGCGCCACCCATGGTGGTCTAGGTCCTGTGCTATGAACTTAAACAATCCGAACAGTCCCTCACAGACATGCCCACACACCAAGCTGACAGGACATTCAACGAAGGCTTCTTTTTCATACAATTGTAGGCTGTTGTGAGTTGATGGGTAATACTAACTGGACACTAATTCAAACACTTGGAAGGCTCTGGCAAAACCAGAGGATCATGATCAAGTTTTCCCTTCACAGAAAAGGGATGGAATCAATGATCATTTATTATTTCACCAATCAATATTTATGGAGGGTTTACTGAGCTCCAAGGTTTGTTTTGGAAGCTAGGAAATTAATGATTTAAGATCCCTTCCTAGGAAAATCGAAATTATAATAAAAAGGGCTAATGTGATAACAACCTTGGCATAGCATTCTAAAAATTCCTTCATGGCATCACTTACGAGTTGTCTGACAGTCTTCCAACTTTCTACCTTTTTGGGTACTGACGTCCCAATCTGCAAAATAGAATAATATGTGTGTGTGTATTATATATATATGTAATTAATCTGAGCCTCTGACATATTCAAAGATACATATAAAATACCTGAAATAAGAATATGTGCATTTTCTAGGAAGAGAATTTTTCTAGACCCTATGCCGGCTAAATCATAAAGGCTTTAGAAATGAATTTAATATTTTTCAATTCAATCCCAAATTCCCTCTCCTTTCTAATATTCCATGATTCATATAAACCTCAAAGGTCCCCACTTCCATCTCTAACAGCCCATGATTCCACTGTGGATGGAAACGAGACAGAGATTGAGATCCTGATTCCCAGACATCCCTTCCAGAGAGGAAAAGGGTTAATCCTAACCCAGAACCCTGCGTTCTGTGCCTTACCCTCGCCAGCTCTCCCACCTCACTTCTCAGCCTCTCTCCAGGTCCTGCCCACTTCCTCATCTAGCCTGCAATTTAAGTTTTGCCTTTACTTAGCGTAGGACTTTGTACAGACAACACCTTCTAGAAAAGCTCTTAGACCATAGAAAAAGGATTTTGTTGTATTTTTAATATATTTTTATTCTTCGATAATTTCATACATGCATACAATGTTTTTGATAATAGTCATTGATTCCTGCCGGTAACTTCTTCTAGCTCCACCTCCGACTTTTTTCTTTTTCTTTTTTTTAAAAATATTTATTTATTTATTATGTATACAATATTCTGTCTACGTGTATGCCTGCAGGCCAGAAGAGGGCACCAGACCCCATTATAGATGGTTGTGAGCCACCATGTGGTTGCTGGGAATTGAACTCAGGACCTTTGGAAGAGCAGGCAGTGCTCTTAACCACTGAGCCATCTCTCCAGCCCGACTTTTTTCATTTTAAGTGTGTGTGTGTGTGTGTGAGAGAGAGAGAGAGAGAGAGAGAGAGAGAGAGAGAGAGAGAGAGAGAGAGAGAGAGAGAGAGAGAGAGAGAGAGAGAGAGAAGAGAGGAGAGTTCATCTGTGCAAAACATTGAGTGCAGGTGCTGGCAGAGGCCAGACATTAAATCCTCTAGACCTGAAGTTACAGGTGGTGTGAGCTACCCTACCTACCTGGGTGCTGAGAACTGGAAGCTTGGAGCTGGGATGGGGACAGGGTTTTGCCATGTAGCTCTAACTGGCCTAGAACTCTCTATGCAGACCACACTAGTCTCAAACTCACAGAGATCTGCCTGCCCCTGTCAACTTCTGGAATTAAAGGAGAACGCTGCTATACCTGTTTCTTTCTTTCTGTAACTCTGACTGTCCTGGAACTCACTCTATAGGTCAGGCTGGCCTTGAACTCAGAGATCAGCTCGCCTCTGCTTCCCGAGTGCTGGGATGAAAGGCGCCACCACTGCCCAGCCACAGCATCCACCCTTAACCAGCCATTTATTTCTCTAGCTCCAGGAAACGTATCATATGGAACCTCTGTCCCATTCTGGGGTTCTGTTCCTTTTCTGGAAGATGGAGATACAAACCTTATTTGTGAGCAAGCTGTCAAACAGAATACGCCAGAAATTGCCAGACATTACACTTTTGCTAGTATCATCTCCAAACTTTCACAAGCTTCCATGAGGTCAGCTCTCTTACATCTAGAGCTCGGATTTTAGATAAGAAAACTGTAGCTGAGAGGCTGTGGGCAGTGTGCCTAATGAAAATGTGTCTCTCTGTGTGTATGACATGTGCATGTGAGTGTACAAGTGTGTGAGAAGGCCAGAGGAGGGTGTCTTACTGTTGTTCTCCTTACTGCCTTGAGATAGGGCTGCAGACTGAGTGCCTGACTCCCAACACTCCAGACCGCAGCTGTCCAACAAAAATATACCACAAACTGTATGTGTAATTACAAATTTTATAGCACCTGTATTTCAAAAAAGACACAGGTAAAATTAAAATAATAGTTTATTTGACCCAAAATACACAAAATAATATAACATGTTCCAACGTGTAATAAATATAAAACCTTTTTCTTTACCTTCACAGAGGCAAGAGTATTTTACATTATAATACATTTCAATTCGGGGTATTTACATTTCAAAGGTTCCATAAATACATGTGGCTAATGGACACCGTAATTACAGTTCACTCATTAATCCTAAAATTAAAAAGCAGTACCCACAGAACCACCTGTCTCTTGGTTTTCGAGGACAAGCAAAAATAATGACAAAGAAGCCTCGTGCATTTGCTTTGGGCCAGGAAACAATATTAAGAATCTTACCCAAAGCCGGGCGGTGGTGGCGCACGCCTTTAATCCCAGCACTTGGGAGGCAGAGGCAGGCGGATCTCTGTGAGTTCGAGACCAGCCTGGTCTACAGAGCTAGTTCCAGGACAGGCTCCAAAACCACAGAGAAACCCTGTCTCGAAAAACAAAACAACAACAACAAAAAAGAATCTTACCCAAGTATTTTGTCATTCTCAAAATAAGGTGAGTTCTATTGCACTCACGCAGGCGGGAGGGTGTGCGTGTGTGCACTTCTGCAGCCCAGGCGTGACCTCTAAATCTAAAGTTACAGGATTGAGTCTGCCTGCTCTTTCTCGCTATCCTTTCCATTCCTTCTTTTCTTCCTTCCTTCCCCCTTTTTTTCTTTTTCCTTTTTTTCCGAGGCAGGGTTTCTCTGTTTGTCCTGGAATACTCTTGAATGCTCTTGTGTAGAGCAGGCTGGCCTCGAACTTACAGACATCCGCCTGATTCTGCCTCCTGAGTGCTGGTACCACGCCTGGCTGAGCGGTATTTCTTAAAATAGTAGGAGCCTCTATCCCGCTGCCCCACCCGGGTGAGCCGTGAAGCTCCGTCAAGGCCCTGGCCAGCCCTCTCATTGACAGGGGACTGTCGACGCTCCGCCCCGATCCTGGTCCAGCATCCGCCCTAGTAGGCGCAGATCACCTGCAAGTCGAGGTGGCCCGTCCGCAGGGTCGCCTCTCCTTGTACCTCCACCCTCTCCAATATAGTATCCTCTTCTGACCCGGATTTCGACTGCGATTCCGACTCCTGGTCAGCCTCCATCTCTGCCCTCCCTGCCTCCCTATTCTGCGGCTTCTCCGGGAACAGACGATTCTCGGAGATGCTGTCCGAACTCTCGGAAGAGCTGACTCCTGCGTTCCAAAAGGCCTTGGCCAGGTCGTACTTCACGTGACTGCGAGTGGGCGGGGCTTCCGGGACCATGCGCCTTCCGCTCCTAGGGAAGCCCGCGGTGTCGCCCATATCCGGCCGCTACGGAACTTCGCCGGTGGAGGGTGGAGGTAAGCTCGGCTCGCCCTCGCTCGAGCCCGCGTCCCCGTAGGGCAGCGCTGCCTCTGGCCTTCAGCCCATCCCTCTCTTCCCGGTCTTCGCGCAGACGCAGAGCCATCCTGTAGCTACGGGACAAAGAGGGTGACGCCGAGAGCTGTAGTCATGGCGGCGCCGGAGCCCGGCCTGGCCGCCCCGAGCCCCGCTGCGCTGCCCGAACAGCAGGAAGGAGCCGTCGACTGTGCGGACCCCGCGCCCGACTCCGTGAGCTCTGCGGCCCCGGAACTCCCCGGCCGGCCCGCAGCTTCAGACGCGGCTCTGCAGGCTGAAGCCACCCCGCGGTCCGGCGCCTCTCGGCCGGGCCCCGAGACGTTTCGCCAGCGTTTCCGGCAGTTCCGCTACCAGGACGCGGCGGGTCCCCGGGAAGCTTTCCGGCAGCTGCGGGAGCTGTCCCGTCAGTGGCTGCGGCCCGACATCCGCACCAAGGAGCAGATCGTGGAGATGCTGGTGCAGGAGCAGCTGCAGGCCATCCTGCCCGAGGCGGCCCCGGTCCGGCGGCTGCGGCGCCGCGCAGACGTGCGCATCACTGGCTGAGCAGCGGAGCCGGGGGCTCCTTGGACTGTAATACCCTACCCCGAGTTAATGAAAGTTGAATTTTGACAGTTCCTGTGAAATGGTGTGTCGTTCGTCCTCTATTGGGCTTATTTCCCGAGCGTGTTCCCCACCTTTCCAGTTGATCAGAGGATGTCGGGAGCCTCTAAGAGTAAAGCTTTACTTAGGCAGGAAATTCTTCTCACCCTGTTGAGTAGCTCTAGGCCACCCCTCTACCACGTTCGCGGTTTTTCTGAACCTGAGTTGTCTTGCAGAATGCTAATGATGGTTGTAGTCGGCTAGTGTTCCATACTACCCTCTGCCTTGCACTAGCTAGTGTCCGAGCTTGAGCAATAAAATGGGTGGCCCTATTAAAAGCTCAGCTCAGTGTTGTGGTTCTTGCTTTTAATCTCAGCACGGGGAGGAGGTGGTTGAAAAGGGGACTGGGGCGGGGCCCAGCCTGGTCTACATAGTGAGTTCCAACCAGGGCTATGTAGAGAGACCCTCTAAAAATATAAAACAAAAAACTGATCAGGCAACAACTGGTGTTACCAAGGAAAATGAAATGGGTCTTATAGTATCACTTCCTTGTAAATGAATCTTGAAGCTTTCTGCTTGGTGGCTTAAAGATCAGTGATTGCAATCCACACAGTGGACAAACGTTGTCTTTAACACTTACTGTTACATATATATGTATGTATATGTGTATATATGGATATATACACACACAACACAGTAGGTTTGGCCCCTGTCTCCTTTTGGTCAGGGTCTACTGGCTTTGCACGCCGGTGATTATCATTAGAGAAATGTTTTGACTAAAACTAAAAGAGGGTTCATGACCTTTGTTAAAAGCCTACTGGTGACCTGACCACGAAGAGGCCGGTCAGCTCCCTGGAGTGAAGCACTTTGTCTTTACAATGAATAAACAGAAACCGTTTTCAACCCCTAATGCTCCATTTGCACAATGGTTTTCCATGGAATGACCTTGGAATGTGTTAAAATTACTGCAAGTCCTTATTTTAATGTATTCAGGGGGCTCCTGTTTTTAACACTTTTCTCTAATCCTCAACTCTACCAAGAGAAGGAATTTTTATTTATTTATTAAAGATTTCTGTCTCACCGCCTCCCATTTCCCTTCCCCTCCCCCAATCAAGTCCCCCTCCCTCGTCAGCCCAAAGAGCAATCAGGGTTCCCTGCCCTGTGGGAAGTCCAAGGACCACCCACCTCCATCCAGGTCTAGTAAGGTGATTTTTTCAAGGAATGAAACATCTGGGTTTCCTTGAGGCTTGTTGGGGGAGGGGATAGTTTGGGTCTATAGAAAGCTTGGGTTTATTCCAGAGCGGTGGGTGAATGTCTGTGTAGAGAAGGCAAGGCCCTTGCATTGCTTCCAGCAACCAAAACTAGTAAATCTGCAGCTTCCACCACAATGCATGAGCCAGACTTGGGTAGAAGCTGGTATGAACTTCTAGCTTTGGATGATTTGAAAGCACCTGCTTATGCTCTCCTGGAATTTCTTGATAGTTTGTGTCTGTCTCCCTGTACAAGATTATCATAGAAGAGCAGGCATGCTATAAAACATTGATTATATATCTTAAAAGTAGGGTGAAACATTTGATTCTTGCTGGGTTATGGTGGTGCACTCAGGAGACTAAGGCAAGATGACTTCAAGTTTGAAGCTTGTCAGATGACATGCTCAAGGCCAGCCTGGACTACTTAGCAAGACTGTCTAAAAAACAACCAGGCATGTGCCATAGGACTTTAATCCTAACACTTGAGGGAGAAGCAAGGGATTTCTGGGAGTTCTGGAACAGTCAGCTACATCTCGAGACCTTGCCTCCAAACTAAACAAAATCACCTTTTATACTCCAGTAATATGTGACTGACACGTAGCAACAAGAACCTGTTTTATTTTTTCCAGATACAGAAGTTTGCATGTTTTGTAAATATTGCTTGAGAGCAACACTCCTATGTACAGTGCCTTCTGTCTAATAGCGTGTAAACACAGTACGTATCCACAGTGCAATGTTGGCTCAGCCACGATCCACCTTGCATACATACTTAAATGACTATCAAACCAGAACTGTTGTGTCAAGGCAACTTTGTATAGGTGGACAGCTTTCTAAACAGACAGAACTTCATGCACGTCTTCCTACACTGTTTGCAAGTAACAGATCCTAGTGCTCCAACTTAGGGTTAGTTCACTGTGACCCAGGAACTGGGAGTGGAGCCCCTCAACATGGCTTTAATTTAGGGAAGAACTGCGGTTATTAGAACACGGGGAGTCTGTTTTGCTTCCCTAAGAACAAAAGTCACAATGAAACCAGATCATTTCCTTCAAACCTAAATGATAAACACAGCAATGACCACATCGCAGAATCTGGACCACCAGCTTCTGCTTCCATGTTTGAACAAGACACAATGGGCTGCTTTTAGAGTTAGTCCCCGATGGAATTTTCTAGGGCAGTACAGAGAAGAAAACACCTCAATTAAAACCTTTATTACATTTGTTTAGCGTGTGGATGTGTGTCAGAGGGCAACTTCAAGGTATCAATTCTCTCTACTGTGTGGGTCCTGGGAATCCAACTCAGGTCAGCAGGCTTGGTAGTAAACACCTTTGCTCACTGAGCCATCTTTCTGGCCTCCAAATCAGTACCTAATATAACAATCATCATACCTCATACAGTTGTAGCAACAGATAGTTATCTTGGCTCTTCCCCTTTCAGACAATCACCATCCAGTTTCTCAAGATGCAGCCATCTAATAAATCACCCAGAACATCAATGTCATATGGAGCATTTCTTCCCCCAACATCAGTGCTAGCAGCGGGAAGCAGCCTTTTGTACAGGGACTATGTTACACACTCCTTATGTGTCGCACACTCCTTAAGCTGTGCCAGGTCAACTCATTTTAGAGCAGATGGTGAACAAGTCACTAGACAGGGCATTCACTTCCTGAAACTTCTCTGTACACAGGCCTGAATTCGCAGGCCTCAATGACCTGTTGTGCCTGAAGCTTACTCATTCCCAAGGCAGGGAGATGCTGCTGTTACTAGCTACTGACATTGGCTCCTTGATGTTTATATAGTAAATATTTGCAACCTAAAACGTTACAGATTCCAAAACTCATGATGAACCTGTGGGTGCTGATGGATAAATGTACTTTGATATTTGCCTTTAATGATGCAAAAAACTGGTAAAATGAAGTCCTCAAAGCATGGAACCTTTTAAACATTGTCTAGTAAGGTAAAACAAAACAATACAGCAATTACACATGGAACCAGACCTGCAAAATAACACAAATATTCTTTCCGAAGGTACAAACAGTTGTACCTGGACCTTAAGCAGCATAATCACCTTGATTTCACAAGTAATACAACCAGGACACTGAAAGTGTTGAGTGCATCAGCAACCCTGCAGATGCCGGCAGCCACGCTGGCCTCCAGGAGGAAAGTGGCACACAGATTCTCAACTGCTGATGGCAATAGAAAATAAGGTAATTCCCACATTCTTTGTAACAAATCTTTACAGTCAAAGTTCAAAATCTTGGGAAACATTTTTTTAACTTTAAATAAAAGTAGGAAGATACTGAAATTAATAAGTGTATAGAAAATGCTGTCCTTTGGGTTCCAGACCCTGCCTGCTTGCTTCCTTCTGGAGATACTTGTCAATTCTCATTGCAACAAGATTCTACCTCTTCCTTCAGACGTTTTGGCTTCGCTGCCATAGCCATGGCCCAGCCGACTCTGGGGTAATAAACATAAAACCTTGTCCCCTGTACCGTGAAATCCTGCGAGAGCCGTGGCAAGAAAATGAAGTCTTAAGAAGCAGTGCTGTCAAGGCCCCTGCTCCTCCTTTCCAAACTGCGCAGCACAGTGAGGTCCCAACATTCCAGTGAAGCTGAAGGATGAAAACGGTGCCTGCCTGCTGCCCATACACCGTGCCAGGCAGAGAAACCAGAGGGGTTGGCACATGCCTCAACCTGACACAAAAGTCAAATAAACCGTGAATTGAATTTACAACTGTTTCCAACTAGATTTTTTTTTTTTTTTGGCTCTCCATTTATCATCAGTGGCACGATTCCAAGGAAGATGTGCAAAGACTTGCTTCGTTCAACAATGTGCACAGAAAGGGGTGCTAAGACTGCACTGCCTTCGTGGTAGGCTTCCAGATCAAGAGTGCCCTGTCCTCCTGTCCTCCAGCACTCAAAATGGTCTCTGTCCCAGTGTCCATCACACTCCTGGCCAAATCCCTGAAGTCAGTCAGTGTCACGTGCGTTCAGCATGCTAAGTTTATTTACTTAAATATGCGAAGCTACCCTGGCAGATGGCCAGGATTGTGCTCCAATTGTCTTGGGTGCCCAATTTCATGTCGAGCAGCAGAGGGCAATCTGCTGCACCTTGCCCAGGTCAGTCAGCAGCTGCTTGATGCAATGCTTGAGCTGTGGAAGCCGGGCCAACGGCTCTGGGGGTTCCAGTTCCCCAGTGTAGTCCAGCCAGCTCTCCAGTACTGCAGGTGGAAGAGAGAGAGAAGATCCAGTGAGGGCTTAGAACTTGGCTTAGAAAAGCCACATCACAAGGCCATTTCAACCCAGGCTGCCTCAGTATTAGCCGCCCACAAAGCATTGCTCCAGGGCACAAAACTATTATTTAGGCTAGCAAGTGATCTATCCCCATAGGCTTATGTCTAGAATGCTTGGTCCCTAGCTGGCGATGCTATCTGAGGAGGAAGTAGGCCACTAGGGGTGTGCCTGGATTCCATCCTCTCTCATGCCTGTCTGCCAAGACATAGACAGGTGCCATGACAAGACCAAGTAACCATGAACTGGACTCTGTGAAATCATAAGCTACTTAAGCAAATTTTCCTTCAAGTGGTTTGTCAGGTATTTGGTTACAGCGATGACAATATAAATGCTTCTCAACAGTACGGGCACCAAGTCCTAGTTAGTGGTGGAAAGAATAATCTACATCTATGCTCCCCGATACAGTGGATCACCAGCCAAATCAGACACAGCTGCTGAGCTCTTAAAGAGGTGCCAGTGCATCTAAAGAATGCATCTGAATTGTATTTACTTTTAATTGTTAACTAGTCACACAATCTAGCTGCTACTGTGCCAGAGCAGAGCCCAGAGGCCCTGAAGACCAACCTGAGTCATTACCAGTCTTTCTAAAGCTTTTCCATATAAATAGGGCAAGCGAGGCTGCTAGAAAAATTAAGTGTCTACAGGGACTTTTAAGTTTTTTTTTAATCAGTCAATTCTGATTTGCTTCATATTAGTATGTGATACATATTAGCAGCACAAAATATACGTTTTTCACCCTTTAAGAAGTTAGTGTAAGCCTGGTGTGGTGAGTACAACTTGAATTCCAGCAATCAGGAGGCAGAG